CCTATAGCCTGTTCCCCCTGCGTGTCCAAGCTTTAATACATTCCCAAGAGCTGTCCTATAGCATACATGAGAAGCATTTGAACCAGGCACGACCTAGGCATACATGCAGGCTATTTAGATATTGATCTACAGAAGGGACAGGGTACTGATCTATGAAAGATCTTTGGGAAAGGGGCCTTCACCATTCATTGTATTAACTGCCCTGAAACATCTTTAACGTGCTGTTACAGCTGTCCAATTGCACCACAGTGTCCTCTGGAAAGTCCAGTTCAGACAATAAGTTGCCGAACAGCTAGGTGCACCCCAAGTCTCCAGGGCAGCACAGCTGGTACTGACAGGGTGTCTGGGAAATGCTTCAATCAGGGATCTGCTTTAGTTAGACACAGAGATATGGAGATAGCTCAGACCAAGGAGAAGTTTCAAACACTGATCTAGAGGTTTGTATGTAGAGGAATTAGAGCAGGGAGGTGTGGAACTCAGTCCTAATGATGGTTTTGCACAATTAATTTCCAGATTTTGTCAGGAAAGGGCTCATAATACTGTCTCAATGTGACGTGATGTGCAGCCCAGCCAGAATCCCCTTCTCCTGGCTCCCTGGCAGTGCCCGTGGGCAGTACACAAGAAAAAGTCCAGGCAGGGAGTGCCTGTAAAGTGCACGGACTGATACAGGGTCAGGACAGTTTTGTTTAAAAAGGGAAGTGCAGCAGCAAATACATGAAAGCTCAAAGCAGATCTGTAACCTCTTTCACCTTTTTTTTCCAACTGTATCTGTTTCTTCCCTTTCTTCCACGCAAGTCTTGTCCCATCACCACTGAGGAGGAAGAATAGCTTGGGCATTCATTTCTCAATCCTGAAGGGTAGCAGCAACACTTGTGCTAAAAAAAGGTATTGGGCAACCACTTTGACTTGTTCCCAAAATAAACGATCTTGAGATAAATCTTATGGTGGAATTACGTACTTTCATTTTGTAATAACCTGCTCAGTTGACAAGGATTCATCCTTATGTGCCAATCTCCTGATGTGTCACATTGATTTGAGGACGTGTTGGCACTGCTGATGTACAGGAGCTTCATGGAGGCTCACTTTTCTGTGAAATGTAGTATGTGAACTCAAGCTCCAACTGAATCTCTTCTTTTGGGAAAAACAGTTGCATTTGAAAGGACAATTCGGTAAGGAATGATCCTGATGGAGAAAACTGAAGCTTTCTAAGTAAAGAACAGCTAGACTAACGTTTCTGTATTTGTAAATTTCTTTGCCTTTATTTCAGCATCCATTAGGAGACAAAATATGGCACAAAATTTATCTGTAATAGGATTCCTGATTCTTTACTTTTGCTTCTGTCTGATCCAAAAGCTATTGGTAAGCTCCCTTGAGATCACTGGGCTTTGAATTTATCTTTTGACTCATGATCTGTCTTATTCACACAAACAATACCATGTTTGTGCATAAGCTTGATACCAAATGGCACTTTCCTATCTTCCAGATGCTTAACATTTTAGGGGTGAGAAGGAGCAGAAACACTTATGTATGAGACACTCTACAAGTTATAAACCAAGCAGGCTCAGCAGACTATCTTTCAGGTCCCAAAAGGCAAATCTATCTAAACATTGCTGGTGGGATGCTTTGGGGTTTAGCAAAGCCCTGGTCAGACTGGAGGGCTGGGCACCGCAGTTCTTGCCATGGTGCAGGGCTCGTATACCAGGACAAGCAATGCTGCTAAGAGCCTGGACAATCCCCCCCTTAGCAGCCCTTCCAGTGAATGTGCCTGGTATTTGTCCTGATTATGTCAGGAAAAGCGTGAAAACACAATCACTTCTAATCCCAAAGCCCCTCTAGCTATAGTATGGTTTCTGTGCAATTGTTCTCAGCTTGAATACCGCTTCCGCCCATTTTCACAAGTCTCCAAGTCCTCTATATATCCTCCCCCAGGATGATTTAATAAATGCATAGCTGGAGCAGTAATAGACGTAATGACATAAATGGTCATTTGTTAATGACTTACTTTGCTTCAAGAACATCACGCCTTTGAACTGAAAGGAATACAAACTTTACCAGCAAGGATTTCAGTTATAAGTGGTGAGTGATTTAATTAATATCTCACGCAAAGCACCATGCTGATTCGCATTCACTTTTAAGAAGTTCTAACCTCTTAATTTTTGGAAGTTGAAATTATTTCCCAGTGTTGTGACGTGAACACCATCAGAAGCCACAATGTGCTTGCGGAGGCTAGCGGGGTCCTCAGCTCCCCCCCCAGCAGCTGTGTCAGTCGAGTTACCTGTAAGTAACCAGGCCGGAGAGCTATGGCAGTCCATGTGCTCATGCTCACCGTCAGGATCAGGGAACAGAGTAATTAAAGATGGATGTTATTGCCAGTGGCCAGGATAACAGACAGTATTTGGGTAAGGAGAAGTAACAAACACAAGAAGCTGAAACGCCAAGAATGGCAATTCCTCTTTAAGCATAAAGGTTGGTTTCCTCTCTGATTATTAAGCATGCATTTCCCCAGGGTAATAATTGTCCTGGATTAAGTGATTTGAAGGAATCAGTTGCTCGGTAACAGGTAGCAAGGGAAGGTGGGGTGAGGGCTGCTGAGGTAAAACAAGCCACGTGCTGGTTTCCCTTCTCAGTGTGAAGCCCTGGGCAGCCGCACAGGCCCCACGAATGCCTCCTGCCTGGCGCAGGAGCACACACAGGCCGTTTATCGGAGGAAACTCAGAGTTCCGTGCTCTTGGGCAAGTGGCAAGGGTGGGGCTTTCCTGTGCTTACGGGCTAAGATAACTGGCATTTCTTCACCCCATTTTTAATTGTTCTTCTGTGGTGTTTTCTATATAATCATTATTATCATCATAAATACAGATGTTATTCAGTTTCAACCTGCGTTCTGGGTTTCTTCCTGTTCACCTCTGAGATATCTCTGTCTCCGTGGCTGGTTCTGGTACACATTCTCCTCTCCCTGACACCAGGGACTTTTCTGACTTATGTAAGCAGCCACAGTTTGACAGATGCACAGCCCCAGTCACACATTCCTCCTGGACTTGCACATTGGAATGTACAGTTTTAAATAATTGAAGTAAACTGTATGTATTTCATATACAGCTGGAAGAGGAGATAACTCCTCTTAACTCCTTATACCAGGCAGCCTCTGTTCGGAAGATATTTTCCATGCTAGAAATGTTTACAGCTCCCCCGGCAGAGATAATCAATGAGAGGCTGCAGTTGTCACGTGTTATCATGTCCACAATATGATGGTCCACAAGCTGCTGATGTTCTTTGGTTTGATTTTTTTGGGGTGTCTTTGGGATAAATTCCGTCTTCTTGTTGGAATAAGAAGAAGCAAAGGGCCACGTCCCATGTGCTGTGACCTCATTGCCACCTTCCTGTTACCAGCACTTGAGTCCTCTGCAGGAGTCACCAGTGCTGCTGTCAGGACGCAAGCAGGGCATTGCTCAGTGTTAACTCATTGTCATGTCCTTGGCTGTTGATGCATGTCGATGCATCCCTTTAACCTTTGTTCTGTCATGTCTTGTGCTTCTGCTTCACACATGGGCTTTTCCATTCATACCTTACTCATACCAGTCTTATTATTTCCATCACAGAGCTCTGCATGCCGTAATACATGCTGTAAATCACTGCCCAGCAGAGAAAAATGCTTACATAGGGGCAGGAATGCATTATTTTCCTCTCTGCGATCTGCTCTGTACCAGAAGGATACTTTGGACTACATAAAACCAAATCTTTCCAAACCAGTTCAAAAGTCATTGTGAACATAGCTCTCATTTTTGTCTAAAACATTTTAACTTAATTAAGACAAACCCAAACAATCCCAGTTTAAATCAAAACAAGCCTTTCTCAGGGCACCCAGCGGAAAGCCACCGGAGTACAGCTCCTTGCCAGTGCAGTGAGGCAGCTGGTGGGATCTGTCTCTACTGCCTCTGTAGCAGCAGCATTTACACCACGACCACTTGCTGCATCTGCCAGCCTGCAGGTTTGCACTGCTTGGCAGCCGGGCTGTTGGCCTGAACCAAGGGTTTGAACCAAGGCTGGTTTGCAGGAACAATCCAGGATGCCAGCAGGCCATGAAGAGGCTCTATCAATCACAACCTGTGTGGCCTGATGACGAAACCACTTGCAAAACCACTCTTTTTGACATGGGCACTTAGCTTGTTGAGACACTGTGAAGATTTGAAATGTACTTGAACAATTAAAACAGCAAAGTGAAGCTTGAAATCCTTCCGGCAACATATCTTAATGGGGTGCCTTGCTCTGTGCTCCACTATCAAACCAAGCAGAGTTTCCTGGCTGGCACAACCTTCTTGCTGAAAGCATTAAAGCACTGCTTGGTACCGACAGATGACGTGCAGAGCCCATTGTATAAAATTCTGTCACTCCTGGGTGGTTCCTAAGGCCTTTGGTGGTGCTTGCTTGCACTTTTGCCTGTCACAGTCCCCAGGAGATGTGCTGGCACGTGCTGGTCGGTCAATCTGCTGAAACATTATTAATTAGGCTCTGATAATTGGATCGCCCATACTGCTGTCCGCCTGCATTGGCAGGTCCTCTCCACGGGTTTAGCTGTGGGCTTTACTAGCAAATAGGCAATAGAAGAATAAACGCACTCAAAGGAGGAAACCTGAGGGGGCAAAATCCGTGCGATTTCTCCATCCCCACACTTTCCCAGGAGCGCGAAAACTTCCTCGGGAGCTCCTCGGGGCTCGGGCGGGCAGCAGGGTGCTGTGAGCCGAGGGGACCCTTCCCCAGCTCAGGCGGGAGCCCCCCGGCAGCCGGCGGCCGGGAGCAGCGGGGGAGCAGCGGGGGAGCAGCAGGGGAGCAGGGGGGGAGCTCCGCGCCCCCAGGCCCTCGGCCCCGCTCGGCTCCCCCCGGGGCGGGCGGTTCTGCGGCGGCCAGGGCTGCTTCGAGCCCCCCCGCGGAAAAAGGGCCGGGCCGGGGGAGGGCCGGAGGGCGGTGGGAGGGCGCCCCGCGGCTCCTCAAATAGCGCTGCCCGGCGCCGGCGGCGCTCAGAGCCGGCTCGGCAGCTGCCCGGGGGCGAGAGGTGCGCGGCAGCCACCGGCCGTCCCTTCTGCGGAGGCTGGCGCAGAGCAGCGGCAGCAGCAGCATGACTTCGGCGGCGCTGGAGATTTTGGGGCTGGGGCTGGGCATCCTGGGCTGGGTGGGGGTGATCCTGGCCTGCGGGCTGCCCATGTGGCAGGTGTCAGCCTTCATCGACGTGAACATCGTGGTGGCGCAGACCATCTGGGAAGGGCTGTGGATGAACTGCGTGGTGCAGAGCACGGGGCAGATGCAGTGCAAGGTGTACGACTCCATCCTGGCGCTGAAGCCCGAGGTGCAGGCGGGCCGGGCGCTCACGGTCATCGTGGCGCTGCTGGGGCTGGTGGCGCTCATGGTGACCGTGGTGGGCGCCCAGTGCACCAACTGCATCCGGCCCGGCAAGATGAAATCCCGCATCGTGATCGCCGGCGGGGCCATCTACATCCTCTGCGGGATCCTGGTCCTCGTCCCGCTCTGCTGGTTCGCCAACATCGTCATCAGCGACTTCTACGACCCCTCCGTGCCGCCAGTCCCAGAAGCGGGAGATGGGGGCCGCGCTCTACATTGGCTGGGCGGCCACGGCCCTGCTGCTCTTCGGGGGCTGCCTCATCTGCTGCTGCTCCTGCTCAGCAGCGCGACGAGACCTCCTTCCCCGTCAAGTACTCGGCACCGCGGCGGCCCACCTCCAACGGCGAGTACGACAAGAAGAACTACGTCTGAGCGGGGCTGCTCGGCTCCCCCGGCCCTGCAGGGCCGCAGATGGACGGCTCTGAGCCTGGCGCTGCCGGGCTCTGTTGCCCAGGGGCACAGGCAGGGACCAGTCCTGGGCTGCTCGCCCGCTGCGCCGGGAGCATCTGCGGCCAGCTCGGCCGCCGGGCGCTGCAGCGCTCCCCTGCCTAGAGGCTGTCTTAACGGGGCACCCCGGCAAGCGGCGGCCCTAGGCAGGGCAGCGCCTCTCTGCCTGCCAGCCCAGCCTCCCGTCGGGCCATTGGAGCACCACTCTGGGCCCTGCTACCACCTGCCCGCCGTGCCGGCACTGGCACCCACCTCCCTGGGGTGGCAGCGGGCACCGAGGAGCCCGGGAGAGCCGTGGCCAAGTCCGCCAGGGCCAAGCCTGGCTGCTGTCGCTGCCTCCATCTGCCTGATGGCCCCCGCTGCAGCTCTGGCCCCGGCCGGTGTTACCGTGGGAGGCTTTGGGAGCACTTCGGCGCCTGCTCCTGCTGCTGGTGCCTCTCAGGGCACTGCCTGGCTGCTGGGACAGGCCATCGGCTGCGCACTGGCATGGAGGAGAAGCTTCCCTGCTTCGTTTTCTCTCCTGAAAACCTTCGTCTGACTGAGTTCTGCTGTGGCTTTAACTGGTTAAGGTTTTTTTCTTTTGTTCTTCTTCAGTTTGGGCAACTAAACTAGAGTTCCTGTCTAAAGCATGACATTAGCCTTGGTCCTTAATCCTGCAGCAAGAAACTGTTTGGAGAAAGGCACGTGATTGATTTTCTTCAGTTGTGTTTGTCCCTCAAAGGAGTGCATTGCTCTGTGTGCCTTTGAGACTTTTGAAAGCGATTTCAGACAGTTGGCTGTTTAGCAGAGTACAGAGATTATCCTAGGTTCTCCATCCCTTCTCCTTTGTCAGCTTCTGTTCTGTTTTTACTTGAATATGAACTCTGTTGCAGGTTGCCAGAATTACTGCAGGACTAGGTTCAGAGACCTAGGAGACCTTTGCATGTCGTGGCTCCAGCAGGGCGACCCTCTGCGTCCTCTTATCTGCACTACAGGAGGCTGGAAACATAAATATTGCCCCTGATATTGATGGTTAGGTTATGGGAGGCTTCTGTGGCCTTGCTGATGAGCACTACTTGCTGCCCGTTTTGAATCACGCATGTTCAGTTGGACATGCAGTTGCTTGACTCCCCACTGTAACTTTGTTAATGTATGCTTTCCTTCATTTACCTAATCAGACAGAAATTAAGTGCTAGAAAACTTTCTCCAATTATTTTGACTGAGCCTTTATGCATGGTAATTGGGAGATGTGAAGTTATGGCTCTCACAGCCCTCGTAGCTCCTGCATAGCGTCCTGGTACCTGCAGACTGGAAGGAAGATGCTCTGGGCACCATAACTCTTCTGAGCTCAGCACCTGTTAAACTTCACCACAGCCTGGAATATTAACACACCTTTCCTTTTTACACTGTAGAGACAAATGTTTCTTAAAGAAGGGGCTAAGGGGTGGTGTGATGCTCTCTCGCACAAATTGTGAAGAGGGGAAAAAAAAATCTTGTACCTTTAAATCAACACAGATTTCTGCTGCAGACTGGCAGCATCTGTACCGTCACAAGGGGCTTTCTGCCAACAGCTAGGGAGGAAACGTGCTGTGAGTACTCCTCAGAGCACAACGCTACAACCTCGTGGGGCCCGCACAAACACACAGCAATACAGCACCACCTAAACTGGGTATTAACTCCTACAAGTTTCTGATGATGCCGAGACTTACAGACTAACCATTACCGGGGGGCGTGACAGATTCATATTGGCTGCGTTTTGGCTTTGCTTAGCAAAATTAACACCCCAACAGCATCAGTACATACACAGACCTGAAGGAGAGACTAAAGCGTTGCCCCTGCATATATAGATGTCAAATACTGAGCACAAATTTCACCCCTTGAAAGGTTACCTTCATTTCAAACGCATACACTGCAGGGTCCGAACCCGTCAGACAGTACAAAAGCAGAGCAATATGTCGAGAACTAGTTCTGTTCTATAAAGAGGTGCAGTTCTTATACTGTCTACATTTACATGAAAGCTATAATATTGTTGTGATGTGATATATAGTTTTGGTACAAGAATGAAATATTCTCTATTTCATCATTGCAACTTCTTTTTTAAAAGCAGTATAACCTTGTAAACTGTAAATGTATTTAAATGCATGTGTTTTGCAGGAAAATACCAAAGTTGGCTTGTTATATGGTTTGGTGCCTTTATTTCTTTCATGGTTATTTTATTTGTATTTTAAATGGTAACGTCCAGCTGTTTTTGTCACCCAGCCCGTTCCTACTGACATGTTACACCATCACTCAGACCTCTGGTGTCTAGCAAAAAGAGTCAATGGATATTAGCTCAACTCCTGCAGACTTCACTTTGTGTTTTTTACAGATCTCATCAATTTAATGGGAATTTGTCTCAAATTAAAGAATTAAAAGAAAAAAGTCCCAACCTTGCAGACATGCCAGCATGTATCATTACTCTAGAGCCTACAGAAGTGCTGCAGGATTTGGGGTCTACCAGAAGGTGAAATCCTTCTGAGGAGTTGGTTGCTAACATTTAGAACCCCATCAGAACGGCTATCCTGGGGGGGGGGAGGAAAACTCACACCTTTGAAGGGATTTATTTTTTTTTTTAACAAGCCAAAATTCCTGATAGACAGCTTCATGCCATGGCAGGGCTGGGTCCATTTATAGCTAAAATCCAACAATTGCATATGAAAACCTCTTGGAAGAAGCCAGTGCTGTGTATGTACCGGTAAGCACAGCATCGCCCAAACAAAACCACAGCTCCTTGCTGATGTAAGGAAGTTTCGCTGAGGCCAGGGGGGCAGCACCCAACAATACTAGCAGGAAGGGGGCCTCATTTAAAAAAAATAAATATATGTTTAATCTCATCCTTCAATGTACTTGTTGCCGTGCTTTAAAAGAAAACCAAACAAACAACCCAATTGAATGCTGTTACTGACGTCACTGGCTTCAGGGTGTAAATTGTTTTTTTGCTCTGTTTTGTTTTCCAAGACCAAAACACACTCCTGGAGCTTAAAAATCAGAAGTGCTCAGGATCAGGCCTGAACCTCATCCCAGTGAAAACAAAAATCTACAGCACTTGTTTACTATTTTTATTTTGTATTTATGATTTCGCATAAAAATAAAAACCACCTAAATCCATCTCTGGTTGGTCACTTTTTTTTTTTTTTTTTTTTTTTTGTGAAAGGCACGGGATTGTTTGGGCTCAAGAAGATGGGGTGTGATGTTGGTGGCCACAGGGCAACCTTTACCTAGGTCACTTCGGGGGAGAGAGCTCGTGGAGAGGGTCACCTCTGGGGAAGTGGGAACCTCCCTAGTGAAGGAGTCAGCAGCCCAGCACTCCACTGGAGACTCAGACAAAAGAGCAAGTGGCAGCGGTTGGTCTTGTGATGTGAGCCCGTTAGGAAATGGACTATGAGTCCCAGCTATTTTGGGAACAGCTCTAAGCGTGAAGCCCTTTAAGCTTTCAATTTCTACAAGTTTAAAATAAAAGGAAAACAAAAAAATAAAACAAAAAACCACTGCTGCTTGGATCAGCCCCAACCTGACCTGATACCCTAATCCTTTCTGCCACTCTGCTTTTTTTTCAAAAAGTGCATTCAAGCTGGAGGAAAAACATTTTCACAGTTGCATCAGAACAGAACCTGTGAAAAAATAGCTCTTAAAGGAAAATGTAGAGGCTAATTGATACTGGGGAAATTTGCCTAAGTTACATGACTGCCAGGGAGGTCTTGCAATATTCTGTGGATTTTTTTTTTGCAAGATTTCCAAACTTTCTTGAACTAGCTGTTGCTTTAAAAATGAAGAAAAAAAAAAAAAAAACATCTTCAAAGACTTCATTTTGCAGCATTCTTGCCAGCTCGGTTGAGATTAACAAAAGCTCCTTGCCACCCTCCCATTGCTATGCACATGCTGAGCTGGAAAAAGGGTGTCTGCCGGCTTGGCCTTTGTCCTGCTAAACGAACCATTTCATAGTTATGAATTTGAAAGTATCCTGCAGTTCATACTCTGCAAATCTGGTTAGATCCTGTCTGTGCAAAGAAGGGAAATGCACCAGGCAGAAGGAAAGGGAAGCTCAATCAGTCACGTTTGCTGCAGGATGTTTAAGGAAATATTTCCTTTTCCTGCACAAAGATGTTTGTTGGGCATCTGCTCTCTGGAACTGACTGAAAAGCTTTACTCTGGGAGTGAGAAGTAGGTGTAACTCCAGATTTTCATTTATAAATCTATTCCTTGGTCAAATACCACACAACATGTTTATTCTCTTTCTTTGGCCATCTTTCAAGCCACAGATGCAGGTAAATATTTTCTTAAACCTACTTTCCTTGGTCTGAGAAAGATCCATGCATCAATAATGCTAAATGAGAATCCTGCCTACCAAAAGCCATGCGCCACACGAAAATGCCACGTTCCTGCATATATTCAGCAATACATTCGTGCAATATTCAGCATCAGGTGATACCTACAATGCATCTTTGTGTGTGTGTGTGTGTGTGTACTAAAAAAAAAAAAAAGGTTAAGTACATGTTTGAGGATTTGATTTTCTGAGTCCACTTGGTAAGACACCACAAATATTTCTGCTTAGACTAATCAAGAGACAGCAGGTGAATTCTATTTTCATGGCAAATATTGTATTTGTTTTACCTGTACACTGATTGTGGAGGAACAAATGGTTCCAAAAGCAGAGCCTCAGGGAGGATCTTGTATTTATAGTTTGGAGATGACCAAGCTCTATCATTCTTATTTTGATCAGACCCTTGTGCATATCTCTGTGTGCGTGACTCTGCTCCAATCTGTTCCTTGCTGATTCTCTGCAGGAGGGGGGCTATCTGCCTAGAAAACCTCCTCTTCTTCCTACCACAGACTTCAGTTACAAGAAAAGGACAATTTCAACCAATGCGTCATTGATAAAACCTCCCATGGCAACAGTAAAGGCTTTAGAGTTGCTTGGATACACAAGTCTTGCTTCACCTTTTCTTTTTCTTAAACACAGATTGAGACATTCTGCCATGAATCAATTTAACAGTGTCTTTTGTCTGTGGCATTTTGGGGTTTTTGTTTACAACTCTGAACTTCCCCTCCTCC